AAAAAATATCAAAACGTGAGACTAAATTATCGAACCGAACCGTGAATTTCCTGTATCGTTGCACCCCTAGTTTAGTTTTGGTGGACAAAACTATTAATAAATAGTATTTTTAAACAGGTATAGGTTGGTCAATTTTCCCCCTAAGGAACATTTATTATCATAAAGTTAAAGGATCTTCAGAGGATTAATTATGTGGCTATAAATGCAATTTCATTACTTCTCCCTTCACTACATCTAGGCAGTATATACTGTATGTGTGTGTATGAGATCCCACTTCTCCATTCAACTTTGGTGCTTCTTCTCAATCCTGATGAAAACCGAAATACTATCCAAGGCTGCAGAGCTGGTGCTGCAAAGATGTCACCTGACCAAAAAAAATTAAAAAGGAAAACCCTGCTGGTGGGATGTGAATAGAAAAAGAGAAAAAAAAGGTGGATTGCTCTGATGTGTGTGGTATGTTAAAAGGATCAGATTGTGCAGTTTCTCTACATCCAGGACTTTCTAGAAAAGGGGATTTACGTATCTGTAGGCATTAATGCTGTATTTGCTCTGTCTTGTCTCATGATAATTTATCATATTATAATTATTGTGTATGTGATAAAGGTAATACTTTTTGTGTGGGTGTATGCCTGTTGTGTGGATAGAGTTTTATTTGTTTGTGCTTTGTGCAATTTCATGGCAGTGTGAAGTGTGTCAGTGCTTTGCTTGGTACAAAACTGACTAAATGTCATGCTTTTGAAGTAAATCATTAGGCTGTCAGGGAATGAGTTGCTTTTTGACTTGAAACATGACATACGAGCAGCTATCTCTACCAAATGCTGTCAGGTCACTCATCTTAGCTGCTTTCCAAATATGCTCTCCAAATAACAAGGAGTAAATGTTTTGCTTGCGTGAGGATGAAAAGTGTCTCGCTGTGAGATGTCAGAGTCTTTATAAAGTGATATCGTCCTTCTTTCAGGCCTTGCTGTGCCACTGTCGACTGTTGTTGTCTTGTCAGCTGCTCGTGCGGTGTGCTCTCTGAAGCCCAAGAGAGCAGATGCAGTGAGTGTCATGACTCATTGTAGGTCTGTTTTCATTTTCCAGCATCAGACAAAGTGTGATGTAACGTTTGTTTGAGCTCGACTAAATTTTAACCAAGCTATTCCTCTAGGAGTCTCAGCTGCGATGTGGCGGAGCACAGAGACCTCTTGGCACACACTGACCCCCTTAACTGCCTGCGCTCATCAATAATTTTTTATAAAGATCAGTTAGGGTGATCAGTGGAGATAGTGTTGCTGGGGCTGATGTGCCCTTATTGAATTAATTCTGTGTGATGATGTTACACACAGCACTTTTACAAAGATGGAACCTCACCCCTCTGGACATTTGGCTTCATTAAAGCGATGCTATCCTTAAATCGAAGCAATAAACTTGAGAATGGACAGCTTCCTAACTGCGTCTTCTGTGCCTTGCCATGTAATGAAGTCCACAGTGTCWGACTAGCTGTTTTCTTGAAATAATTCTGTCTGAAAAGAGAGAAAAACAAAAGAGAAATGATAAAGATGGTGACAGGTTCTTTTATTTATCATTTACTCACCATTTTCCCCCTTTGAGAAACATGAGTATAAACTATTTACAGTCTAATTAATTGCTGCTGTTATGTTTTCATCTATTGACCCTGATATCAAGAGCTTTTTACTCTGTCTCACTCGTACAGGATAACATCCTKAGTGTGGTTGTCATGACACTTGTGATAGCCAATGAGCTTACAGGAACCTGTCTGTGTGTCCCGTCTGACTGCTGACACACAGGCCGGTCCTCAGCAAGTTGACCATTCACCTCCTATCTTTCTTCCATATTGGTTATTAATCCCACTTACAGTGCTCTTCCTGTGTCCCTCCATTGTAAATTAACCTTTTTCTTCTTTTCTCTCCCCCTCCTCTTGTCTTTCTCTGTGTCCTACCTTTCACTACCCTTATCTTTTGTCCTCCCTTGTCCTCACCCTTGCAGCAAATTCATTCACGTGAAAATTATTGACGATGAGGAGTATGAAAAAAACAAGAACTTCTTCCTGGAGCTGGCTGAGCCTCGTATGGTAGACATGAGTCTGCAGAAAGGTGCAGTACTGAAATGGTTTCTTTCATTCCTGACTTTTGTCTCTGTCTTTTATTCTCACATTGTCATTGCCTGGTTTCAATCTTTTTATTTCCCCGTGAGCACTTTGCCTCGTTTGTTTCTCCTGAATCCTTAACTTTTATTTGTCTACATCTGCACCTCCTTCTACCCTCCTTATGACTGTATGTCATACCAGATAACTGCAGTAAAATCTGATCATTTCATCATAATGACTCCCCAACACTTTCATCAATTGCATTAAAAGTTTGCTTTTATCTCAAAGAAGCAAGTAAACATTTTACATAAAAACGTTTTAATCTAAATGCAGAGCCTCTGTTTGTCTGTTTTTGAGTGTACAAGCAAGATTATTGATTTACGTTTTTGCCAAGAGAAACAATTGTTTTATACAGTAATAATTGTCACAAGTTATAAAGTATAACTTCACAATTTAAAATACTTTATGTATCATTCATCATATAGCTTATATTTTTGGCACAGGACATGAGCACATTTGCATTTGTTTAATTCTGATTAAACGTGACAAAAAGCTTTTTTTTCTTTAGCAATAAGAATATACGATAAAAGTAAAAGATAGAAAAAATTAAATCAATGCAAGTTGTCATCACATGTTTTGTTTGTTATATTGCACATGTCTCGCTGGTAACGTCTGATAAAAAGAAGCCAGTGGTTTTTTTCTTCCCTTTTTCACTTTATACTGTGTTATGGAAATGTAATGCAGTGCTACCTAAACACACTCATTGTCAGAGAAAAGTGTGGTGCAGGTTCCACACATGCACACAAATTCAAAACCAAAACACACACACACACATACAACAATGTTGTCAAATATCTGTTTAAACTGGTTTTCATGTTGGCAACCCATCCATCCATATGCTATCCCATTTCTGTGGTTGAGTCATAGAGGCAACAGTTTTTAAGAGGGAAACCCAGACATGCCTCTCCCTAGTGACACTCTTCAGCTCCTCCTGTGGGATCCCAAGGTGTTCCCAGGCTTGAGAGGACATATAATCCCTTCAACAAGTTCTGGTCTTGCCTCTGCAACTCCTCCTTTTGAGACATGGTGGGGAGACCAGCAAAGAGAAGCACTCAGGATGCATCCTATTCGAGAAGGGGTTCTCTGCAGTCACTAAGTAGGAGTTTCTTATTTTTTGGGGGGAGGAGTTTACCCAAGACATGATTGGTTGAATTGACGGTGGGGCAGCTTCAGGGCAGCTTGGTCGAATTAGCCAGGAAGCACCAATATTTTTTCAAGTATAGATATTATTTTAGTTATAACTTGAGACATGAAGGTGCTAGCTGCACAAAATTTGAACGCAGTTACATGTGGTGGGACATATAACAATTTTGCTTGGTCACAACAGCCCTAACCAGCCTGTAAAAAGCTCCACCAATCATGGTTAGGGCAAACTCCACCCAGAGAACAATATGTACTGCAGAGACTCCTACTTGTCCTTATCAAATTCCCGAATCATCTCAGCTGACTCCTTGTGATAAAATGGGGCAGCGATTCTACTTTGAGGTCCTCCTATGATGGAGCTCTTCACTTTAGCTCTAGCACTTCGCCAGACCACCTTATGAAGTATGATCCTTTCAGCTGCTTAGATGTGGTATATTATTTTGTCAGGATTTATACTTTATGACCATAGATGAAGGCTGAAATCAATGATTGAACTTAGGCCTAAGGTRGYCTGGTACCAAGTACCCCTTTTGAGCCAGCCTTTGTGCAAACATGGTGTTCATAAAGCACTACTTAATTTAAGATGAGGAGGGCCGTTCCTCCCAATCACGTCCCCCTCTAGGTAACTTTCAACAATGAAATCTCCAGATGACAGCTTTCAAGGACATCACGTATAGAAACCAGGAAAGCCCAGGAATTTGAGCTGCTGTTTGTTGCATACACACAAACAAGAGATGAAAGTCTTTTTCAGGAGATTCCTCAGTCTGAGACTGGCATGTCTTCTACCCTCCTCGGTCGATTCAGAAGACACATGGAGGCAAAGAGGAGGGACTGAAACACTCTACCTCTGTAGTGCCTCTGTACCTCCAAGCAAGGTAGTTACAGAGCCAAGCAAGCTGACGTGAAAAAAACTCAGTGTCACTGCTCAATAATGATAGTGAACTTTTGACATTAGTGTACAACCACGCACTAACAGGATTAAACAACAGCAAACAGATTTATTACCAAAGTAATATTGATGACGATGCGGCACAGCAACTTTTTAGTAGATTATTAAAAAAAGTTGTTAACCACAAAAAAGGTCRCTAAAGGAATTTGATTCAGGTTGTTTTGTGAATGATACAAGGCAGACGTCTGACACACATTGTGTGTTGAGCTCTGATTCAGCCCTGCTGAGTTCTGCTTCATGCCTGTTTTGATTTTGTACAGAATCTGTTCAATGACATTAGATAAATAAAGTTTATCTTGTGGCCAAGCACTAACATGTGGCTACGAGACAATTATTGCAGTCAAAAAGAAAAAAATTGTGTAGGTCTTCTGGACGGGTTCTTCTCTAATGAAACGTTTCGTCTCTCCTCCAAGAGACTTCTTCAGTCTGAGAGTTTCAGGTCTCTGTCACAATGTTTCTAAATATCTGACGTCTATACTTGGTCCTTTAGTTGGCAGCTCAGAACATCACATATAGAACACTATGGACTTTGTGGACAAGGTGAGGGATGTCAACATGGAGGCGGATGAAACTATGGTCTCTTTTGATGTTACATCGCTCTTTACGTGCGTTCCTGTTGATAAGGCAGTGGATGTGGTCTGTGCAAGATTGAAATCAGACACCACTCTCAGCAGCAGAACCACACTTTCCACAGAACAAGTGTGCCAACTCCTCAAACTGTGCCTGGAGTCAACCTACTTCACGTACGGTGGCAATATTATAGGCAGAAACATGGGTGTGCCATGGGATCCCCAGTTTCTCCTATTGTTGCAAACCTGTACATGGAGGAAGTGGAAAAGAGAGCCTTGATGTCATTTTCAGGGGTGCCACCGAGCCATTGGTTCAGATATGTTGACGACACCTGGGTTAAAATTAAAGCCCAGGAAGTCCAACATTTCACTGATCACATCAACTCTGTGAATGAATATATTAAGTTCACACGAGAGGATGTAAAAAATGGCAGGTTGGCGTTCCTGGATTGCGATGTCTCGGTTTCGGATGGAGGACGGTTGGAAACTGGCGTATATCGTAAGCCCACCCACACAGACCAATATTTGCGTTTTGACTCCCACCACCCACTGGAACACAAGTTAGGAGTGATCAGGACTCTGTACCACAGAGCAGACAGTGTCCCTACAAACCCAGGAGCCAGGCAGAAAGAGAAATCACACACACGACAGGCCCTGGAGCAGTGTGGTTATCCTGACTGGGCTTTCCTGAAAGCAGACAGGAAACACAGACAGGATTCCATGCAACCTTCAGGTGAAAATGAAGACCCCAAACCCAGACCCAAACCAGTGGTTATTCCGTATGTTGCGGGTGTTTCGGAGAAACTGAGACGTTTGTTTTCTAAACATGATGTCCCAGTAGCTTTCAAACCCCAAAACACATTACGGCAAAGGCTGGTTCACCCCAAAGATCCGGTGCCTCGGCACAAACAGAGCAATGTTGTATATGCTGTTAAGTGCCAGGAGGACTGCGACCAGTTATACATCGGGGAAACAAAGCAGCCACTGTTCAAAAGAATGTCCCAACACAGAGGAGCTACATCTAATGGCCAGAACTCTGCAGTTTTCACTCATTTACAGGCCAGCGGTCACTCTTTCAGAGATGAGGATGTTCTCATTCTTGATAGAGAGGAACGTTGGTTTGAGAGAGGAGTRAAAGAAGCCATTTTTGTGAAGAAAGACCGTCCATCATTAAACAGAGGTGGGGGCCTCCGTTTTCAGTTGTCTCCCTCCTACAGTGCGGCCATTGCCAGTATCACTCCACCCTCTGTTAACAATAAGTGTTAATTAGGTGTCAACGATGGTCATGTGATGTGAGTATCAGTCACATGGAGGCTGGGCTTAAAAGCCTGAATTTTGCCTGAAACTCTCAGACTGAAGAAGTCTCTTGGAGGAGAGACGAAACGTTTCATTAGAGAAGTACCCGTCCAGAAGACCTATACAATTTTTTTCTTTTTTGATTTTTTACCTGGATTACTGAGATGCATCAGGACAATTATTGCAGTCATTTCCATGTAGACTGTTGATTGTTAACATGAACAAGTTTAAATTAATTATGCCTCCAAGCAAGGAGGCTTACTGTTCTCTGGTTGTCCTTCTGTGCATTACCATTCCACCCATCACACTGTCTTGTGTGCACTGTGTCTCCTTGATTTCAATTAAAAATTAACATGATAATTGTTCTTGGCCCAACGGTGGTCTGAAAACATTTTGGGGTCAAAGGTCAAATCTGAAGGTCAGGTAAAGTGAACTTTGTTGTTTGAATGTCCATATTTTGGATGATACACATAACTGGTTGGTCACTGAAATTAATGATATGGTAAATATCAAAGAGGAAGTTATGTTTAGACAATGATATTTTTCAGTTTCAGGCTGAGTCATTTCTACATTCTCCTCTCTGTCAACATGCTCTGGTTTCATCGTCAGATGCTGACCATGATTAAGCTTSAGGGTGGATAGAGCTCRCTTGCAGCACACCAGAGGAAAGAAAACAATACAGATTTCTAAGGCTATGTTCACACTGTAGGTCTTAATGCTCAATTCTGATGTTTTGAAAAAAATCTGATTTTTTGGCATTACATTTTTAATGCGACCTCCATCAGACTCCAGTGTGAACTCCACACGGCACTGATATGACCCGCATGCGCAGAAATGATGTTACGTCAGCTGGCTGTTTGTTTACAGAATTAGCTAAACGTGCTGCAAGTTGCGTGTTTAGCTAACTCTTCCTGTAGCTAACTCTCAGGAAGATGTATTCAGACTTACCGGTAAATGGTATAGCTGCTTTAAGTCAGCAAATAATTCTCA